CCTCCCTCCTGCCTCGACTGGGAAAAGCCGGCTTGCCAGGTCATAAATGCTACATTTCACAAATTTTCGCCTTTGTAACTGCAAGTACAGTCCAGTCAAAAATATGGTTTTTAATACGAACTTCATGTACTTGAACTCTATTCCACATTGAAGCAACATTCCAGCCTGGAATTTATTTTGTAATACTAAACATTATGGAACCGAAATTTTACATTATATCAAAGAATTGTTTCTAAAATGACAAAAATATGACCTTATTTCAAAATTATGCCAATATATGCTGTAAAACCAAAAAAACTCTAAAATATGCATTTATATGCACAATAAAAACGACATAATTTCAATAAGAATGACTGGAAACATGTATAATTACATTTAAAAATAGGAATAAACCCTAGGAAAAAAATATGACATGTCATAGAAATCCGGGCCCTAATGATAACATATAGAAGTATCTCTAAATTTATTTGTGAATATTTTTCCTACTCTTCTTTGTTTGTCCATAAATGTCTAGTGGGATATTTGAACAGTAAATGATATCTTGTATATGATACATAACATCTCAGGTATTGTTTCATTAGTCTCATTTGTTATGTGGCAGCTGGTAAGACTCGAGCAATTCAAGTGGTGTGGGTGGGAGCAGTATATCTTGTGGAGAAATGCCTAGTGAGTAGAATTTTTGTCTCACTGATCAACTGAGTCAACATTTCTTCAGATGTGTATATATACACATGTGCACGTTTGTTCATGCTTGCCTGCATAAATCCCAGGTGCTAGGTCACCTCAAATTTTCATTATGCCACTGAGGAATCTCTTCTATTATATTAATATTAGTGAGTAAGCTGTCACAGGTGAAAGGCAAAATATTTTTTCTTCCATTCTGTTATCCCTTTCCTATATTTACCTCCTCCTCTCCTTTCTCCCTTACTATTTCCCCATCCCTTTTGTCTGTCTTACCATCACTTCTTTCCCCTTGCCTTTATCCCTCGCCAAATTAAAAGTTTCCTCACTCTCATTTTTCCTGTTCTATATCCCTCTATCTCTTTCCCTACTTTCTCCCATATACCTTTATCATCCCTTCAATTTGTCAATCCTACAGTCATTCATCTCCTTGTATCCTAGCAATGGGCTAAAAGTAATTGCCTATTATTTGCTAGTAGATGATTCAGTTTATCCTTTTGTTAATGAAAATAAATAACTTCCTCAGTTAAGGTACTTTGTTTTTCAGTCTGGCTAATAGTGTCTTGGGAGCACGCAGTAGCGTAGTTGGTTGAGGCAGAAGCCAGAAGGTCACGACATCGCATCCCAATGGGGTGGATTTTTTCAATTTACCTAATCTTTCCAGCCACACTGTCACTCTGCAGTAAACTTAGCCTCTTAACAGAAATGAGTACCAGGAATATTCCTGGGGGTAATGGGCAGCCAGCACGCAATGCTAACAACCTCAAGCAATCTGTGAGCT